TGACAGGATGGTCTGGCGTTCATTGACGTCTGAGGGACGAGCGGGTCAAGCTACCGTAGAAAAGCACCCGAGATAGTGAGCCAGCTTTCGGCTCAAACCTTTTGGCACCAACAAGAATCCATCTGCCCACCTGGCATGTCTCACTCAAGATGCGCGGCCATGAGCTTTGTAGAAAGCCAGGATGTTTCAGTGGCAGCGAGTCAGGTCTCGCTCGAACAACAACTTCACTGAGACAAGCCCGGAATAGCATATGTCTCTAAGCCACGCTGTTTGTGCTGTGAGTTGTTATGGGAAGACAGCGAGGGCCCAATGTTCGCCGGCATACTTAGATCATTTACTCTCTCAAAGCTGAGTTCTTGTTGCATGATACAGCTCCTGCCTAACATCTCTGACTCAGCACCTCTCCATTTCTACCGACTCGCACAACTCCGACAGGTAAGCGATCTTCACGATTTTTGGGTGCTTTACTGGGAAATGTGACCCTTTCGGGCGCCAAAAGCAACGCGTTCACTATCTGATATCTTGACTGACATCCTTCCAGTCTCGTTACTCGCCACCTACTTTGGCTCCAAATGATGTCTCTCGGTGCGGGTCCTCACATGGCGACCCCCAAACCACCCGAAACATTGGAAAAGCTACTCGAAGCTACTTCCAAAACAGCCCGAGTTCACCATTACACCGAGCCTTTGGGACTCCGACAGCCCTCTGTAGTCGCCAAAGGCGGAACCAAACGAGGTCGGCCCAGATACGAGGGCATAGCTGGCGACCTCAACAAAGCGACTAAAGAGATTGTGGATCAAATCTCTGACACGTACCTCTCTGGGGAAGAACTATGTGAGGCAATACGTTCGCAACCTACCTTTCTCGATGCGAACGTGGAGCCACTCATGGAAAAGTACGGTCCCTTGTTATGGAACCACGATAGTGGCTTCAAGCCACGCGCCAACGACATCGACGAACTGAACCAGGACTATGTTCGACCCGATTACCTCTTGTACGAGGATGATCAAGATCGCAACAAGTCAGTATTACTACAGAGCGTCTGAGAGCTACCTAACTAATTTCTCACAGCATCAAAACGCTCGTGTCTTGCTGGATCATTCAGCGTGCATGCGTGAAAATACGGCAGCGTCCTTCCCAAGAGACTAAACACTCGGATCAAGCGTCTGAGTCTACGGAAGCCCCCAAAGTCTCCACAGAACCCGGTCGCACGTGGACAGCTCTCATACTCTCTCGGTTAACTCTAATATGGTTATGTATCGTATGGTCAGTCCGAAAACCCTTCTTTGTGGCATTCTTTCTTATGACATGCGGTTTGTTGTTGATTTTGGACAAGGCAACGCGAGATCAGTCTCCTGGAACTGGAGAGGTCAGGATGTTAACTTACCAGGCTTTTGGGTTCGATCAGTCCTTTTGCGCCTTTTTCATGTCTATCATCGTGGGTTATATACGGGTCTGGAATTTGTGAATTTGCTTCTTCGCTGGAAAATGGGCAGTAGATGGCATGATAGAAGCAAGCAGATGTTCTCAATCCATTCTTTCTACCCAATCAAAGCAACGCCACACTTTGACAGATGTACGAACTTATTCTCGGGCCGGTCTACACCAAGGATCGGAAGATACGACCCCTGCATCGGAGCCTCAAGTGTCGGAAAGTCGGTTAAGGCGACGCCACAGACGCAGTCCGGCTCCTAGTCTCCTAATCTCTTTCCGGCTCCGGTGGCGTACGCCACCTACATGTAAGATTGAACGGGGCGGTACGTTGCCGAAATAAAGGAGTCGCTGGTTATCGCTGGGCAGGATCAGCAATGCGGCGCGGTTGGCTGTATGGCTGAATGGAGTTAGCGGCGGTGTTTGTGTATCAGCCACCAAGTGATCAGAAGTGCGTGCACACTACCACGTCAGGGACCTAACGCCAAGTAGGATTCCAAAAACTTCACCGGTAGCCGTGCTCATAACTTCCTCATATTTTCCATGACTCGTCAACGTGTGATTCGGACGCCTACCTGCATGCACACATGCCATGCAGTCGGCTCGACTAGCCAAAAGCCCCCAGTCAGCCTATGGGCGTTGTCACAGCCACCCGTTGAATCGAGCTGCAGACTTTCCATTTTCTTCCCCAGGGGGTTCGGCCTTGTGGAGACTGTTGCCTACGCTGCGTAGGGTCATCGACAACGTCGGCCTGGGCATTTCTCTATTCCCGAGAGCAGACGGGCTCATTGAGAGTGAGGTTTCTTGCTGTGACGCAATCTCTGAAACATTAGTGTGGCCAAGCTTTGGTTCCTCGCATTTCCCACGAAAGACGTATGATTTCCTTCAAGGTATGGCTGACTTACAGCCTGTGGGATCCCGAACGCACAGCCCGCGGCAACGGCTTTGCTACACCCGTCTGATAAGGCAGTGGGTGATCAGCAATGATTCGCTGGGGAACGAACACCGCTTCTCCCGTTAGAGAACAACAGGGAATCTGGGGTGGGTAGGAAGTAATCTCCGCTCCGCTCGAAATCCGCAAGGGACGCTCTCAGACCAGATCTTGGCCTGCTGCCTAACGTACTTAGACGTCTTGCAGCTCAACATTATTTCAGCCAATAGGTTAACTTTGTGTAGAGCTATGAAGGTCCTTCGTCGCCGATCGTGGAAGCAATCTGGCACAAGACGACGTTCCCCGAAATTGCATCCTCAGAGTAGGAACTGCGGGTGTCATCCGAGCTTCTCTACTGGTAGAATCACGGTAGCTGCTCTGGCATAGCGTACCTTGATTTATAGAAACGACCAGGGAAATGACTCATAGTATGCGAGAAGTATATTCTTCGCCAGGTATGAATCCTTCCGGCGATTCGGCGAAATAGTCCTGCGCTTGGCTGCCGAAATCATCATCTTTCTGGGTACAAAATACACTCTGGTGGGTAGAAGTTGCTGTCTTGTCATAACTAAAGCATTAGGATGCCCTCTCTGCATACCACCTGGGGATTCTCGCAGCACGGCACTGGAGAATAACCTCGTCCTTGTTCGGTAGCCTCTGCATCGCGCTTACTGTGTTCATCACATCGAAGCAATCACTTTCAGACGCTATCAACGCCCTGTAGTCTCCACGACTTCGATTCTACTTCGAAGGTGCGCACAATATCCCCTATATGCATTCTGAGAAGGAAGACATCGACTAACTAACAGTAACAGAACTCACTGATCCTGGGGTTATGCCAACAGATGATGATTCCCTGAGCTTGATGGAGGAATGCACCAAGGGGGGAATACACGCTGTTGTATATCTGTCACGCCTTGGGCTACTCAATCTAGCAAAGGATCCTAGGAAGTGCGGCAAGCCAGACTTCAAATCAGTACCCGAAGTTCAACGGTTCTGGGATTCAACGAAGCCTATTGTCGAGTCTATTGCGACGCAATACAAGACAAGAAACGCCATACGCGATGCTCTTCGAGATCGACGCATTTGTCTGGAGGAAATCTCAAGAGATTGCGTAGAACAATTCGGCCATCAGGTCTGGAACAATGGTGTTAAAAGACCTTTCGTCACACGTGTCGATACCCCTAGCAGAGTCAGCAAGAAGTTCAAAGTCAACGATACCTTCAGAGTCCGGGAGTCTTCGAAAGTCAAGACTCGTACCAAGATTGCAGAGAGCACGTATCCAAGGCATCTGATCTACGAAAATCGAAGTGATCAACGCAAGTAAGTCAGTCCGCCAACAAAATTGTTTTCAAGCGCGAGGTACTAAGTTCACTCGACATAGAATACGATTGCAAGTCTCTGCGTGGATCGTCCAGCGCGCCTGTCGAAAAGTCGAAGCCGGTGGAAAGAACAAAGCTTACAAAGCACGCGTGAAAGCGTCAACGAGACCTTCAAGCTTCGTGGCAGCAGTCCGCGTGAATCGCGATGAGCTTCTTCGCAGCCCTACGTTATCATCCAGTGATGATATTGATGAATTGAGCCCTGAGTACGAGGCTGGCGCTTCAAGGAAAACCAGACGCGCAGAGAAAGTCAATACTGTTTCCCGACGTCAGCTGCAATCATCGGGAGCATCTCAGAATCCAGTTCGAACTCCAGAACGATCCACTACCCAACGTGTAGCTGTTGTGGCATCTCCAAGGAAGCCCTGGAGTGCCAAAACCACAAGAACGGTCAAGAGGAAGCCGCAGCGAAGCGAGCTGGTAGGGATAAAGAACGCAGCCGCACGGACTGTACGAAGCAACGCGAAGAAGGCGCCAACGATAATACAACCAGCATCGAGCTCACGCCGTACGAAACAACCTCGCACAACCCTCCGTCCTGTAACGCCAGCGATAGTCGACGATCAAGTCAGGAATGAGAATGCTGTTCAAAGTCTAGGCTCGATGGCAAACCAGCCGCTTCTGGATCGCGGAGAGCTGGGAATCCAGCTACTTGTTCTTCTCGAATCACAGAACGCTGGACGTAATGAGATCGCACACATGCAGAACACTATGGAGCGCATCAAAAGTATAGCTGTGCAATATTCCGAGGAGCTAAGAAATGCGCTGAACGATGAGTACGAAAAGTGTAAAGTGGCTCTGGACAGATGGTTAGCATGTATGAGAACACTCGTCGAGTTCCGTAAGAAAACCGGACTTTCGGGCGATGGACCCAGCATATTATCCGGCTTCGAAACCCTTCCACTGGAGAAAAGGAAAGGACAAAGACCGTACTTGGAGATGTGCCGAGATGTTCGTACATGGGTGAGGGATGGTATGACGATCTTCGTGTTCTGCAAAGAGGTGGGTTCCATACTCTTAAAGATGGCTAGCTTTGCTCCTTTGAGTATGAGGTTAGATGATCTTCTTAAAGTTCTGATACCTTTCACGGCAGGTCTGATGAGATGCTTCCTGTCTAGGCCGCCCAACTCTTGATATCCACGAGGTTAGTCAACACACCGTTTCGGTTTGTATTGGTGGTATGTTGCGGCGGCTCGGTTCAGAGGGCTATAGAGGATTGGTAATATGTGTGTCGATACTGTTCTGTAAGATTATTACTACACCACACTTCGTACCTTGAAGCAATGTTTGTAACCGCCCGTGACAACACCTGCAGTATTGACAATCTTTGGATATCGCCAACCGTCCAACGACTGCTTTACTTCGCTTGAACCGATGTTCAGCTGTTCCAGAATCTCCATGACGGCAGCATACAAAACATCGAGGTTGCCGTCTTCGACCTTGACGGCGATTCCTATAGCACCGTGATTCATCCCAGCCAGATCAGCGTCGGGTGAAGCACGAACTGCTACTGCATAACAGGCATCTGCTCCGATCTTGCCAACGACTTGTCCGTTATAAGGCGTCATGAGCGCTGTATCGAAGCGACCTTCGCCAGCAACCAGTCCGGGGTAGCTGGCCATGCACTTGTGGATCCGAGCTAGATGATGTGTTCTCTGATCGAGTGTCTTTTTCGAGGGACCATCGGAAAGGTCAGCGGCATCTGCAAGCCTTGCAAACATGAGCGCGAGGTTCGGAAGAGGCATCGCCGGCGTAGGGAGGTTGCATCCGTCGACAGTCCATAGCACTTCCTTCTTCGTGAGTCCGCTTATATCCTCAACAGCTCGGTACACGCGCTGCTGCATGGGATGCTCATGTAAAAAGTAGTCGTGAGTTGTCACACCCAGACACACCGCACCTGCTACCATACCGACGTGTTTTCCGGAGCAATTGTTGTAGATAGCAGTCGGTGTAAAATCTTCTTGGATCCACGCGCGATTGACAGCAGCGTTCTGAGCGGGGTGTCCACCACATGTGAGAACCTTCTCTTTCTCTCCCGTCTTCTCCAGCATCGCTTGTGCTCGTTCGATATGTCGAGGTTCACTACTATGCGAAGCGCACATGAGCGCTACATCTGCGTCATCGTAATCGAATCTCTCCGCAGCTCCAGTTTCCAAGATCGCAAGGGTCTGGATTGGCTTCGTTGACGATCGCGCAAGGGTCATCCTTTGGTAGTCGCCAATTGTGTAGAGTAGTTTGCCAGAGGCATCAACAATGGCTGCGTGTACGTTGTGTCTGTTCTCGACAATGCCACCTCGGTAGCTGATGACTACGTCATTCTTAGGGAAGCTATCCGATCCATCCTTGATAACAGCGCTCTGCGTCAAGAGTGTCGTTGCATGTTGTGGGTTCGCATTTGTATCCTCCGTGGCATGTACCATGACTTGGCTGAGTCTGCTATATTCTGTGGAAATCGACTGGGACGAGAGCGGCGAAGATCCGAGATACTATGCTGATGGCTTCGTTTGTTCTAGAGTTTGGGAGGAGAACTGAGTTAAGGTTGAAGCCTAATTGTTGAAGACATAAATGGAGCGCGACGAAATATTGTTAGTGTAGAACGCTGTCGCGTCCGGCGTACACCTGCCTTTCAATGTCTAGCGCGAGTGTCTTCATTACCTAACCGATGTCCGATTGAGTATGTCATTGCGTATGTAGGGCTAAGGAGGCAGCGCATTTTCATGGGAATAGACTGCTGAGATGCGCCCTACACGTGGCCGATAAGGCGCGCGATAAGGGTCCGAATGAGCCTGCGAATGGTGAACGGGCTATGGTGGTGTCGCGAAGATTTTGCGCTTGTTGTCGCTGAGCAAACCACGAAGATTTATCGGACAGTACCTGACGCTCTCTACTCAATAGTTGCAGGCGACTGACGATGAGGGTTGGGATGGAACCAAAAGTGGTGAGACTGGGCCTCGGGAAGGCGCGCAACACGCTAAGACACTAGCGTGTTTGACCCTAGGAGGCTACGGGCTTGCTTTTCGAACGCGTGAACGCGTGAACGCGTAGAAAGTAGCCTCCTTGACGCTTCACACGTGTGACCAGGTGGAGTTGTTACGACAATACTGACGATGCCGCCGAACAAACTATGCTTACTTTGATACACCTTCCAGCTGCCGCGACAACGGCAAGCCTGATCGTCAATAGGTTTTTTAGCCTGTGTAGTCGCGATCATGGATTGTGCAGAACTCGAAGGCATGTTCGAAGTAGAAGAAAGTCTTGATAAATTGTTCGCTGAAAGTATATACATCTAGTTGAAGAGAAGGGAATTTTTGAGCTCCTGCGCAGCAAGAACTGGTGACGTCACCGTCTATACGCTGAAGCTTACAGCGGGAGTCTTCCAGTTCACGAACTCTGGGCCGATCTTCTTGAGGTCGGTTACACCAATGTTCGCCGCGTCATTAATGAGCTCGTACTTGAGCATCTCTGTCGCCCTTGCGACACCCTCAGCGCCGTAGATGTTGGCGTACATGAAGGGCCTTCCGAGACCGACAGCCTTTACACCGAGGGAGAGGAGCTTGAGAACATCGGTTCCGTAGCGGATACCTCCGTCAGCGTAGACCTCGATCTGTTGGAAGATCTCAGGGTCCTCGTTGTAGATCTCTAGGGCGACTTCAAGGGAGGAGGGCGAAGTGTCGGTTTGACGGCCGCCGTGGTTGGAGAGGAAGATGGCCTTTACGCCCTGCTTGACGGCTTCGCGAGCGTCTTCAACAGTCTGGATACCCTTGGGAATGATAGGCAGGGAGGTCATGTTGGACAGCTGCTGGTACAGATCCCAAGTCAAGAGACTCAGGTTGACGTCGGCAGAACCGACACCGTAGCGGGCAGCACGGTGCCTGACACCATCACCGGGAGAGTCGACAGTCAGGACAATAGCCTTCGCACCAAGATCCTCGATCCTCTTGAAGAGGACCTGGGTGTCGTTCATGTCACCGTCAAGGTAGACTTGTTGGAACAAGACCTGCTCTGAGCCGTTGGGGCGAGCAGCGTAGATGTCTTCCAAGCTCTTGGACGAGTAGAGCGAGGTCATGTAGAGGATGTCGCCTTCGCCGGCACCCTTGACGAGCCCAAGCTCACCATCCTCGTTGGCATATCCACCGCGTGCACATGGGGAGATGAAGAAGGGCGCTGAAAAGTTGTGGCCGAGAATAGTCGTGGGCATGGAGGCTTGGATGTTGGTGATGTCGCGGAGGACGCGAGGCCTCAATCGGTAGCGGGAGAAGACTTCGAGGTTGTTGCGGTATGACCATTCGCCAGCCGCTCCGTTGCGGTAGTATGTGTAGGCGGAGGTGTTCATGTGCTGGCGGCCGACCCATTGGAAGTCTGGCAGACCGACCAAAGACTTGAGAGGAGGTAGGGTGTCATTAGCGACGAATCCAGCCAACTGGTCGTCGATACCAGTATCGGGTTCGTTGAGGAAAGGACGTGCTGCCAGAGCGCAAGTAGCGAAAGCAAGGAGTGAGTAACGCATCTTGAGCGAGTACTGTTGGGGTATCTAAGAGCAGGAAAGATCGACTTTGGGTGAAAGATGGGATGAGTGGAAGATCCCAAGACTCTTATACCCCCTCAGTCAAGCCTGGGAGACATGGGACAGGCAGTGCTGTGCCTACTCGGCATGCAAGTCACTCTGGGCACAAGATCTTGCATGTCATCTAACCCTTGCCTGCACACCATCTGTGCCAAACTGGACTTGACATGGCGCTACTTGCCAACTTGGGTTTCGAAACCATTTGCGTCATCGGAGAAGGGCCGCGAAGTCCCTTCATCTGATAAACAATCCTGTCAAAACGTCTAAAGTGGAGCACCACTACGTCCCGCTGTGTCGCCAAGCGCTCCAGAGGCGGTCGCGACTGGGTTGTTGTTTAGCATGAATTGGACGCACAGGGCACAGAAAGCTGCATCGGACCGATGTGGTTCATGTCAGGATTGTCAGTCCAGGCACGCGGGTGACCCACAGCGGAATTTCACATCAATCGGTGCCGTCGCGGTAGCTTGATTGGTCAGTAGATTGATAATGGCTGCACAGTTCCTGAAATTGAGGTACCGGAACCAGCTCGAAACGTGGAAGGTGGCTTCGGTCACTGCCGTGGGATTCCCAGGTTGCTCGGCACATTGCCGGACCTGGAACGTCACTTATCCCACGAGCTAGGCTGAAACGCCTTCCAACTTCTCAGCTTGGTGACAAAGCAAGCAGCGCCTTGATTCCGCTGCTTCACTAAGCCTTACATCGGTCACCGATGGCGATATAACGACGGGCTATGCTCTGGTCGATTAATGATGAATACATGATGCAACCAACGTCGTTATCCCCCCATCAGGATTACGACAATACTGAGTTATTACAACTTGTTGCTTCCTGACGAACTTCACATGAAAAATATTGAGATCAAAATGAGATGATCCATCAATACGGCATCGTAACGATGATCAAGATCATGTGTCATGTGTGCTCTGGTCGGGCGTTGTGGCAAGGCGGCTAATTGCTGTCCTTGGCCCGAGGTCGCAACATCGATCGTACACACATGCTGCATCGGGCCATGTGCATACCGGACTTCCTGAAAAAATGCTCGTTATCTCAGGAAATTAGCTCCTCTCTGCGATTGATGTTGTACCTACGGTGCTACCGCATCGGATCGCCGCTCCGAAGCTACGCCTGTACTTCAGTGGGCTGTAATGCAGGTCTTTCAATGTCGGCACAGTCACACGTCCCCTTAACCGCCTACTGCAAGAACTTTTTTCTCGCGCGAACAAACTTATGTGGATTATACATGATACTGAGGAACGATGAAGGAGTGAACAGTGGCCCAGATAATTTACAGTCTGAATACGCTAGTGGGTTAGCGCGTAACGGCCAAGGCTCTCGTCCACCGGGCCACGGGTTCTTGCTCACATCTGGTCTCTATCCACCGACGGCGGACATCCCAGTCAACGCTGTATATCGATTTTACTCCACATATCTAGCTGGAAGAACGGGTGTCAGCACCATCCGCCAGGGAGACGAGCGAGTTCGAACACGCCCAGATTTGATTTCCGCCTCCCTTGGCTCGTTCCCTGCAAAGCATCGCGTTCGATGCCTATCAACAGGACGTCAGCCTTGGCTTGACCGATGAGACTGTCTCTTCTGAGTCTGCGAAATTAGGGGGCTCTGTGAAGGCAGAGCTTTTGTGTAAAACCCGTCTGTGAAACGATGCCTCCTCTTGGCGTAGTGACAGCCGCTTCGGGAACCGAGAGAGGATCAGAGATCATGCGAGACTCCAGTGATGCAGCAGGCTCAGGTGTTTAACACTGTTGAGCCTGGAGAGCTCGCGAGAGCAACATGAACTGGTTGCGTGGTTCCAAGAGGTGCGGGGAAATCGTGCCGCAGGCGCGGGGTTGCAATGCCAAACTGTCAACACTTTCTTCTTTCTTCACTCACAGACACGAGCACCAACAAGGGAAGCCTTCCATCATGGTAAGCAGCTTACGCGTTGCGGCCTGTCACGCGTCACCTGTCTTTCTCAATGCACGCAAAACAACAGATAAAGCTTTATCCTTCATCAGACAAGCGGCATCTAACAAGGCCAACCTCGTGGTCTTTCCGGAAACCTACATCTCTGCTTTTCCTATCTGGAGCTCGCTAAGACCCCCTACTGAAAACCACACCCTGTTCCAGCGTATGGTACAAGAATCTATCTATGCTGATGGCGATGAAATGGAGGCGTTGCGCGAAGCGGCTCGGTCAAACAACATCCTAGTGAGCATCGGCTTCAGCGAAAGGTCACGACACAGCAACGGCTGCCTGTACAATTCGAACATCTTCATTGGAACCGAAGGCGAAGTCCTAGTTCACCATCGAAAGCTGGTCCCGACTTTCTTCGAAAAGCTCACATGGAGTAGCGGTGACGGCTATGGGCTGCGTGTTGCTAACACGCAGTACGGGCGTATCGGCGCGTTAATCTGTGGCGAAAACACTAATGCACTTGCAAGGTACTCTTTGATCGCGCAAGCAGAGCAAATTCATATATCAACTTGGCCGACGATATGGCCGACAAGAACTTCACGTCACACAGCACAAATCGCCGAGCAGACCACCGACGATAGCAATGAACAGTCGAGTCCAAGCGCTGCGCGTGGAACAAACTACGACAATTTAGCCGCAAACAAGACCCGTGCTGCAGCGCATTGCTTTGAAGCAAAATGTTTCGGTGTGGCGTGCTCAGGCCATCTTGGTGAACATGCTATCAAGACGGTCATCGAGGGTGCAAGTCAAGCGGATGTGGTAGCCGAGACTCTACACGCTATGCCTCGAGCTGCAACCTTCTTCCTGGATCCTACCGGCGCGCCGTTGCCTAGCTTCACCTACAAAGGTGCGGAGAAAGAACATGTATCCGCATTGCAAGATCAAGAAGACATACTGTATGCCGACATGAATCTTGACGACTGTATCGAGGGCAAACAATATCACGATGTAGTTGGTGGATATCAGCGACCCGACGTGTTTGACCTCAAGGTCGACCGATCCAGAAAAGAACCGGTGCGCTTTATTTGAATACTACGGATGTCACCTACCAGTCGTATGTTACTTTAGCCTGCTGTCTCGGAATGCGCCGAACCGACTCACAGTGCGCTCCTCGATCGCGTGCACATCTTGTGCACAGGCCGGCGGCACTACTTTGACACGCCACAACACTTTTGCTCATCACCTTGGTAGCCAGCAAGCTCATCATGGCGCAATTGAATTACAGAAACCTTCTGTCTACAGCCGCCGCAGCGGCCCGTCAATTTTGGATTTCTTGACCCAAACGTACGGGCCCGAGCTGACTGTCAGCAAACTCTTGCGGGGTGAGAGTTCTCACCAAATCCTTGGGCGTGGGTTTCGATTCAGATGGCTGCAGATCGAGCAGGGGTCGCGGGTTGTCGCAATCAAAAGCTTAATATTCGGTCGGTCGTAGCTCGGGGACTCTAGAACCACATCACATCGCACTGCAGCACGGCCTAGGATGAATGTTCAGACACACAACTTACTCGCATCTCTTACGAAAAACATACGATTTGCACAGGTCGCTTGACGTCCATATACCAAACATTCTTCCTTGTTGTTGCGAAGTGCTTTCAAGTTGAATGCTTACTACTCGTTCCGGTGTCCTGGCATTAGGGTATTTGAATCAGTTCGATCTATGATCAGCGGCAGGTCTGAGCGCATTGCCGATTTCGCGAAGGAAGCGCGCATCTTCACCCTCAAACTCGAAGCTCAGCAGATCTCCTCACAGCAACCAGCTATGTTGGCCAAGTAAAGCGCCACGTCCGCAGATTCTTGATACGCCATGATTAATCCACAGCTTTACAGTCGCAGTGCTTCAAGACCAGGACGGAAGCATGTATGCAGGTTGCGGCGTTAAGCCATTGGAGTGTCAGCAGGCCGCATTCAACTCATTTTGAACATTACTGATCAAGCCGAACAGCATCTTACGCTGCGCGCCCCAGGGCTAGTCAGATGCACATGAAGCAGGTAGCAGATTTTGCGAGAGAAAGATCCCCTTGTTCGTTGCGCAACTAACGTAGCATCTCAAAACTCTCGCACTCCTCTCGATCCATCCCGAAAGACGGTGTTGACCGCTCCTTTCCCTCTGTATCCTTCTTCCCATCTCCGATGTCTCTCTAGCCGAACAAATCCCCAAATGCAGAGCCGTCATCAGAGTCCGCGTCGATATCGATACCCTCCTCTCCGTCCTTCTTGTCGTCTCCTTCTTCTCCAGTTGTCTTTCCATCGTCCTTGATATCAGAAGCGTCACCGCGACCGGTTGGTGTGGCCGTGGTCGCGGTGAGGATGATGTCCTTGACGTTCTTGTCGTCGAAAGCCTTGCTGAAGAGCGTGGTCCAGATAGGCTCGACGTCCTCGATGCCAGCGGCTTTGAGTAGTGCTTGCAGCTTCTCGGGGGTGATGGGGATGCCTTCGTCGGCGAGGATCAAGGCGGCGTAAGAGACGGCTTGTTCGGCCTTGTTGGTGGTGGTAGACATTGAGATGACGCGGTAGCTTGTGGGTCGATGAGTGGTGTTGAGAGAAAAATTTGACAACCGTAGCAACTTCTTGTGACCTTTGGATCGTCTTGTTGCTCTTGTCGGAGAAGCGAAGTCTTTGTGTTGGTGTTGAACAGGGTCTCTCGTCCAGGTAGTAGATTCGTTATGCAACGTTGGACGGGACGAGTCACTTTATATGTGCGTGCGGAGGAACACCAGCTCCTGTGAGTCTTAGAATGCGCTTGTCATTCTAAGACTATATTGGATTGCGATCCATGTATGCGATCATAACGCGCACTCTGCGATGACGACCTATTATCTGAACAGCCGACCGCTCACGGTACCGCAGCTTCAGACGAGCTCAGATGCGCTCTCGACGGAGGGTTATTATTGGTGCGCGAAGACTACGCCTCGAACATTAAAGGTACTGTTTCGACGTCGGAGTCAGCAAAAGGGCGCAGCGCCACCCAAAACAGCGGTTCGCCTCGTTGCTCTTCTGAGTCACGGCCAACATCACCACACAAAGCCACTCAAGCAAATCCTGAAAACAGAGTAAAGAGACGTACCGTTTCACTAAATAGGATATGATGGTTCCGTAGCTCACAGTCATAAGGCGATTTATGACTACATCCCCAGATGGACCCAGAGGCAGAAGGCTTTTGAAAGCGAGCTTGCCATCAGCGCCAGCACCGGAAAAAACGCATGCGCACAGCTTCTTAAATTCTAAATGTGTAGACCCTTCTGTTATGAGCGGTAATTTGTCAGTTCCAGCTATTGCCTGCCTGGGTACATTCCAGTCAACATTACAACTAAACAGCTAGGTACGGCATCCTGACTTACACGGGCGCCGGTACGCAGGTGCGTTTGCTGCATCATAGAGCCCTGACACGATGTCACTCTCTCCAGGGTCTTCAAGCCTTGGAATAAGAGATCAACCTCCATCATCTGACAATTCGTTGCCCCGAGTGCTGGCCAGTGGAAGTGAAAGAGCCGTGAGGGATACGACGCAGTCACTTCTGGGAGGCGCGAGCATACTAGCGGGGCCAGGAGGATACAATGTGCTATCCCCTTTTGCAAGCATCTTTGAAATGATTGCTAGTGGTATGGTGATGAGTAATGGTGGGTCAACGTGACTGCCGTTTGCATGTCTTGGCATTGTTGTTGTTGTTCACGAAATCTCTTCGCCAGTCTCTCACTTAATCACCCACACGACACAATTCCCGAAAATCTCTCGTCTTTCTCAAACCCGCTTCGAATTCCCACAATGGCCTTCCCACGTCTACAGAAGTTGGTCGACAATGCAGCTGCACAGCTCGACGAAGAGCTGCTAGCTGGACTGCCGTTCACGGTCAAACCTCCATCTCCAAGGCGACTTCTGAAGCTGATCGTGGATCACGCTACCGATCTGAACGTAAGCTTGTGTGATCTACCTGAACTCACGACATGCTAACGACTACAACTAGTTCCACGCCTGGGAATATCAACATTGCGCAGCTGCGGAGATGTTCTTTGGAGATTACACTGAGGCGCTTGTTGCCGGCGGTCACCTCAAGCTCGACCATAGGCCTGCTTCAGCTACTGGAGCTACGCCATCAATGGCTCCTACGCCAATAGCTTCTCCTCATCAAACGATAGCTGTCACTCAGCGAGAAGCTTCTCGCGAAGCTCTAGTACTTCACTTACGGCGAAGAAAGGCTTCACGCAGGAAAATATGGGAAGCTTTTCAAGCCCTTGGACCTTTGGGAAATGCAAAGCTCAAGCTTTGCTATAGCTTCTTCCGAAGCGCACGTGGTTGTGTTCGAGGTAAGTCCTTCTAGATAGTCATTTCCGTATCATGTGTTAACACACGATAGGACATATGTGCGACCTTTCGCACATCCACCCTACCGAGCTTCAATTCGCCGCCATGGGGCGATACAACCCAGCTTTAACTTCCTATCTGAAGCGAGTTTGTGAAATTCGGCCTCCGGAGTACACTAGCTGCTTCCCAAGCTACGTAGAGTGTGCCCGATATATTCCGGGGTACGAGACCCCAATGCGGCGTCCCAGTCAGGCTCGACACCTTTGAGCTGATCGAGCTGATCCGCGACATGAATGAAGAACAGCTTTCCTTCTTCTTGGAAACGGATGAGCGAGCTGCGCCTCTGGTCACGAAGCTCCTCGACATCAAGGACAAGGATCAGGCCGAGTTCGCGAGCTTACAGCGAACACATGCCGCATTTCTCAAGCGGTATCAGGAAGCTCAAGCTGAGTTTTTGTTCGAGCTCCACGAGACAGTTCTTCAGCTTGAGAAGAACCGAGCTCTGCATCCCCAGGTCGAGCAGCTAACTCTTGAGCTGGAGTTGGAGAGGGAGGCAAAGCTTAGATTCAAGGAAGCTGCCGAGGGGCATGTGGAGCTTTCGGCAAGTCGACGTGCTGCGCTTAGTAGCGCGTGTGCGCAAGAGAGGTAAGTCTCTGTCGTATCGTACTTGACACTTGTACTTACTTCGTCTTACAGAATGCGCGGCGAGCTCCAGGCCAAGCTTGGCCTTTCGATCGAGGCTGCCGCCATCTCCCAGGCTGCGCAAGAAGTCGCTGCAGGTCACCGACGACCTTACTTCTGGCAGGGCTTCCTCCGCGGAGCCAAGTGGGATAACAAGCTGCAACCGCTTCGGCGGCTTGTTGGAGAACCAAGCTCAGCTGCTTCTGCCACGACCTCTCGGCTTCCCGCGCCACTCTCCGACAAGCTTACACGTGCCGAAGCTTTCCACGAAGCTGTGGTCCTGCTCTCCTCCCCCCTTCGGAAGACATCAAGCTTAAACTACGGGAGCGAGCTGCTCAGCTTTGGGAGCTTGTGCGCAAGACCGACGGCAAAGCTGCGAACTTGCCAGGTCGCTTCAAGGACAACAACAAGGCGGGAATGCCATATCGGCTAGCTGCACCTGCCGAGCTCAAGACAGAGCATCCTTCCAAGGTGTACTTCGACCACTTCTGGTCTCACGCTGTAAGTTTCTCCCCTACATAACATGATGAATTCCGCTCACACTCTCAGTCCAAACAAGCTACTTCTCTTCACGTCTGCAGCTGTAGCTCTGGTGTCTTCCTCGGCTCGGTCATTGCAGCTAATGACTGTGTTTTCTCTTGCGTCCATAGCTAAATCAGTATCATGATGAGTATCCTACTTTTGTGCTTGTAACGTGATACGTCTTTCAACATGACAGCTCATGCCTACTGCGCAGACACTGTTTCCATATCCCAACGAATTGCTTGCCGCGATAGTATTGAGGCCCATCGCGGCTTTCTTATGACTGGGCGCCCGGATCGATGGACCATCTCCTGCAGCACTCGAGGTTGGTGCCGCCCAGTCCAAATGATCACTGCAATTGCTGCGCCCGGGCGGGTTCTGGTGACCCCGAGCTAGCGTGGACTATCCCAACAGGGCGCGTGCACGTCCTTTACCCCGATTGGGTTTGCGGGCATATCGACCAACGCTGGACCTTCAGCACCTTCACTCTTTCTTCCATCCTTCCGCACCCAGACTCCCAACGATGGTAGAAATATACGAGCGCCCTGGGCCCCCAGCCCCTCCAGCTGAGGACGAAGACTGGCCCCATGGAGACGGCATTCCCGATGACGATGTCAGATCCGCCATAGCCGCCATCACGCACGCCAGACAGTTCTGGGATAGGTATGAAGACCCCACTAGCAGGAAAGCCAAGCAGAGAGAGAAATTCTATACCTTACTAGACGGTCACATCGCGCGACTCGAGGATGTTTGGGAAGCTGTAGCTTCATACGACGCGGGAAATTTCTCTTACACGTCGCGAGGCTCAACAATGGACACCATACTGCGGGATCCCAAAACCCGTAACTTGTGGGAAGGGCTAATTGCCGAGCAAGAGGCAAAAGACGAGAACGATGACACTATGAAACCGCTCCATAAGCTGGAGCAGAAGCTTCGTCGGATTGCACTGACTGGCATCCACGTGGGCAACCTCACCAAGAAGCACACCAAGACTGAGAAGGCAGCTGGAGGACCTGACATTCGAAAGCCCGTGTACGCTTCATGGTCCAAGGATCAGAAGCCGCTATATCGGACGTACACGGGGATGCTAGTTCGCCAGCCAGACATAGTATGGCTGCCGAACGCGACAGTCTTTGCAGCTGAGAAGGAAGCCAAGATTCGATGGCGCGATGTCAGGGTGAGCTCTCCGACTTTCCTCTCTACGTCAATCTTCCAAATTGTGCTAAACGCTTTTTGTAATAGGGCGTATTGACCCTGTACAAGACAAAGTAGCTGAACAAGACGGAGTTTGAATGGTTCTTATTGAACCATGCAGTTAGAGACATCGCTATCGGATACAGGAAGCAGCTTTTGCCGGAACACGACACCGCAGCTACCAACCAGTCCTGGAGTATCTGGCAGGATCGGGTCGACGCCAGTGAGCTTTGGGCAGCTAAGCTGGCGTCTTTACGGAAGCTTACCCCCAAAGCAAACAGCGCTACGGTCGCATACGCAGCGGCATATTTGGAGCACTACCGAGAGCATGAGCCTAATCTGAAGACCATGCGCGACTGCGAAGTTGACAAGTTCATAGTCCAGTTCTTGGATGCAAGAGTACTGCGACCGGAAGCTGGTACGGACGATGATTTGAAGCTCAAGCCATACAAGTCTCCTAGGGATGTCGGTATCTTTGCGTCCAACTAGGATGACGAGGGGAAAGGATGTTGTGCTTTGGATCCCAGGAGCGAATCTACTACAACACCTCGATCCTCCCCATGGCCGGATTTACAGAGGTTGCCGCGCTCGCGAACATGAGGTCCAGGCAGATTACTTTGCGTGCTCAGTCGCGTCGGCCTCGTTCTGCGCAGTTCTGCGCAGCTCTACGCGGATAACCCAGAGGGCTACATCGCCTTAGAACAACCTAGAATTCTTTGCTTTGTGTGAGTGTAGACTCCCGAGCACCTCTTCAGATTCGTTGCTGCATGGCGTGGTGTTCCGGTCGGAGGCCACCTGGGCACGCGCGGCCTATAGAAAGGTGGCGGGGTCAAAGCTCACAGTACGCGTATCGCGTATCCGGCGTATTGAGGTGCGTTACCGCAAGCTTCACTCGGCATCATCTATAAAACAACTGCTGCAAGACCCACCATTATGCTTTCAATCTACCCGAGCCGTTACCATGGCCAAGACTACTGCTTACAGTATGGCATTGCTGCACTTATACACAGGTGCAGCTGCCCTCGGCGCAAGCCTGCCCCCGTCGTATCAAAGCAATCACGACCTTGCAGCCAGGAACAACAACCAACAAGCTGTTCTCAACACCTCGCTACACATTCCGAAGCTTCCAAAGCCAGAAAAAATTGATATCGTCGAACTACCTTTACCTCCAGTTTCTCCAAGCCAAGACCCTGGCGCATGTCCTAATCAAACCGGGTGCATCGCGAGAGAGCTTACCGAGAAGTTTCAAGCGGGAGACTTCACTCCGGACGGCCGGAACGTCATCGTCACAGTGACCTTTGTTGGAGCTCCCGCGGCTCCAGACCCGGCGAGCATCTACGATGGAGTCCAGCTAATCCTGATCAAGACTGATAGCTCAAACTTCAGCAATGGCGATGCGTGGAAGTGCCTAACGTGTGGGGTACTGGCTGAGAACGCAAGAGAACTGGATCCACAACGAGACTATCCTCATGTCTTCAGAAGCGGCGACAAAGCAATCTGGGGCCACAACATCCTTGACTGCAACGGGAAGCAGTTGGCTAGCGATGAATGTACGCCTGACAATGTTCACATCTATCCGATTCACTGGTCGGACGGCAGTCCGCGTGAGCTGCGTATGCACCCCGATGACGTCCATATTGGTTGGAGTTCGTTCACCAACGATGCTGGGCAGTATTCCTACTTCGGGCGTCTGGAGTTCAATGCGAGACCCTCAGGGTCGGGCCCTGGTGCGCCTCGCTATGACCTGGTCGATGTCGACCTCCTCGTGGATCCAGAACGCCGAGCTTTCATAACGGCTGATGGCGAAGAGTTGAAGCTTCACCCCGACTCAATCACAATTGGCGAACTGCGGGGTTTCAGTGGTTCCGGCGACGAGATACTCTACATTGGTGCGCCGACCGAGTCGACAAATATCGATCTGTATGCGGTTCACATCGAGACTGGGATTGTTCGCCGCCTGACCAGTCACCCTGATTACGCTGATCCTATTGCTTTCTCTGCCGATAACCAGTGGTTCGTCACTCAGGATACGCGTGCTAGCAAGCGCCAGATTTGGATGTCGGGTATGCGAGGTATTCCGCCTCTTATCGACATCGTTGCCGTTGCTGTAGCCGCATCTACACGCAACAATGGCCCACGTCGCTTCTTCCAACCAATCTTAATAGATCGTTATGGGGATCGTGAGTCGTACTACGGGCAGCAGGTCAACGGAGAAGGCGATGGTAGCGAAGGAGGCTTTGACGATCCGAACTGGAACGGCCGAGCGGACCCGGCTTTCTCTTTGGACAGCACGCGTATTGTGTACTGGCAGGCCATTGTGACTTCGCCAGCCTGTGGTGGCATCAATCCGCTGCAGTGTCCAGCTTCCACTGCCCCAGGTGGGCGTGAGTATCGTGTCATGCTCGCCCAAATGACCGATCGCAAGCCTACGCGTGCAGCCACAGTTTACAAGGTGCCTGGTCGCATACCGTGGGCGACGCCGTTCCCACCAGGAGCCAAGATTCCTTCGCAACCTACACTGAAGCCAGGCAACTATACACTCCATGGAAGCATCTCTGGCTTTGCGAAAGTGGAGCTCATCGGAGACACGGCACATCCACAAGGAGACTCCATCAAGCGTGTCGCTGCCAACTACACCAACTTCTGCAATGATGGCGAGCACATCATCAACGGCTGGGAGGACGTTGAGCTGACGGTTTCGACTCCGAATGTGTGGGACCAGAAGCTTGATTGGTACTCTGACATCTCGCAGACGGGATCTGCGACTGGAAGCAAGAAGACTAGCCCGGATGGGTTTCATTTGAGGATCGATGTGATGAAGAACATACTCGAAGCAAACGGAACGTTGACCACGACGATCGACGGCGTGGAGTATCACCAGCCGGCCAACGGTACCTAGAAAGGATATAATTAGCTACCTAGATATAGCTGAATTGATGGGCGGTTTCGCGTCAGTTAATCCTCCCGAGTCGCGTGTTGATTGCGTGCGTATTGAAGTCGCATAGTTGCTTGATCACCGCCATTCGGTTACTCCTATGATTGGTGTGGTCTGATCTGTGACAAATGGACGTATGAGTGGCGTGGGGAAGCATGATAGGGTGGCGAAAGTGTGATTGTCCCCGGCGGAGCTGCTTTTTGCCAACACGCGGAAAAAGCATACCAGGGCCACAGGCGTGTCGTACAGCGTTCTTCATCAATCGACTGATATCTGCAGATGGGAGAGTCTGTCACGCATGTCGTGTGTCGCATGTAGCATGTTGAGCTGTTTGGCGTGACGGTGACGTACCTAGCGGCCGGACAATTTGCCCTTGCTTAGGCTCAGGCACGTGGCCCTCTTGGCGGCGGGTACCCGCATCTTTCGCCTGCCACCACCGAGGCTTGAGTATCCGCAAGTCGCACGTTTGTGACTTGCAACCTTTCTCAGCGATCAGTTTTTGGACCCCAACGATGGCGCGATATCTCGTGGATGCTTTGTAAGAGCGCACACCCGTCGATTACCGACGCCACCCAGTATGGCGCAACCCAGTATAACCACATAGCGTCACTCCTATGGCCAGCACGTATGCTCGGTGAAGCCGTCTTGTCCTGGCACCTGCTTCCCCTGGAATGCCCAGATGGAAATCACCGCTTCACGATAGCGTCCGGCCAGCCAGCTTTAAACTTTGCCCCAAAGGGCTTGCTTTTCAGGGCCAGTTAATCTATCTTATCTAGTGCTGCACATCACCCAGGGCAGGTCCTCTCATTGCCCATGCATCTCTGGATCTACTTGATCCTCCCGGGCAGGTGCATCTGGAGTTTCAGCGGAGACAGGACGAAAGCAGAAGGAGATCAAGTTAGCGCCCGGCGTAATTCGCGAAGTCGGCCAATCAGCGGCAGGCGACACCATGGCACCTCCGACACGTTTATGCTAGAGTATCACCTGCCGACCATTAGGAGAAGGTCGATCGTTACACCAAAATGGAAGGAATGTATAAAAACAACGTTGTTTCACGACATACTGTAGAGCATCGGCAACTTCATTCTAACGTTCCCCATATTCTTCACCCCAAGCAGACTCAAGATGAAGTACGCTCTTGCCGCAGCTCTGATACTCCAGAGCACCACCGTACTCGGTAGCCTTCTGCCTGTTCATTTCAACGCACCTTCTCCAGCACACTTTCTCGACATCGTCAACAATGGCACATACGATCTTGGCTGCAGACCCAAGGCGGTGCCATCGAAAGAAGGCCATTTCGAGCTCCACGCCCTGCTGACCGAGGACCAAATCGCGTATCTGTCCAAAGAGTACGAGAACCATGCAGAGATCAGCCTACACCGTCGTGACCTCAGCAAGAGGGCTGCTACCGCACCGATCGGCACTGGCGACCGTTGGTCGGGCGGTTCAGTCACACCGTCTGGTCTTGGCACCAAGGCTACGGGATCGACCATGAGCAGCATCATGAATCCCACCGAGATCAACTCTGCCATCAAGGGACTCGTCAACGGATACGGTATCAGCACCGTCACTCTGCCATACAAGACCTTCAATGGCGCTACGCAAACCGCCGGATACGTTGGCGCCGGCACAGACAAGTCCAAGTACCGCCTCTATCTCTCCGCTGGAATGCACGCACGCGAACGCGGAGGCCCTGATCAGCTCATCTACTGGATCTCAGATCTCCTCGCCGCGAACAAGGCTGGAAGCGGTCTGAAGTACGGTAGCAAAACATACACCAATGCTCAAGTCAAGAGCGTCCTTGCCGCCGGTATCGTCTTCTTCCCACTCGTCAACCCAGACGGTGTCGCATACGACCAGTCTTCAGGATCACTATGGCGCAAGAACCGCAACACGCGGTCCGGCACTAGCGGTGCCTCCGTCGGTGTAGACATCAACCGCAACTTTGACTTCCTCTGGAACTTCAAGAAGTACTTTGACCCCTCCACATCCCCTGCTTCCACCTCGCCAAGCTCAGAGGCATTTTACGGTTCAGCTGCGGCATCGGAGCCCGAGACCAAGAACCACGTCAGTGTCTACGACTCATTCCCGAAGATCAGGTGGTTCATGGACATCCACTCCGCTACTGGCGACATCCTGTACAACTGGGGCGATGATGAGCTCCAGAGCACTAGCACCACCATGAACTTCCTCAACAGCGCGTATGATGGAAAGAGAGGTCGTCTTGGCGACTCCACGTACAAGGAGTACATTCCCTCGGCTGATGCGACAAACATCAAGAACGTTGCTGCTAAGACGGCGGCTGCGATGCGAGCAGTTGGTGGCCGTGACTACACATCCATGCAGTCTGTCGGCCTCTACGCCACCTCTGGTGCTTCGGACGACTACGCTGCTAGCCGTACATACGCCAAGTCTGGCGCGAACAAGATCCACGGCTTCACCATGGAGTTTGGATACAGCACCAACTTCTACCCCACTCTGCCCGAGTTCAACACCAACATCCTTGACACCAACGCCGGTTTCATGGACTGGGCGCTTGCCGCGATCGCCGCCGGCCTTGACTAATTGATTTGCTTGAGTACGCAACGACATATTGGTTGCAATAGGGGTGTCACGGCGTTGAAGAAATGTGTAATGCGGAGTTGTAGTAGCATGGGCGGCTCAGAGGAAGTGTTCCTAGAGCGAACGGCGTTGACGAGGATACGAGGATTGATGACAGATGATGATTCTTTTCGACGGCCGTTGTAGCACGTGTAATATTTCTATATTATTCTAAACCACCTGTCCACTTCCCATGATACAAAACGATAAGGCGAGATGATCGCACTACCCCAACTTGAAACCACCTCTACAACCACGCTGGAATAATCCCTCGGGATCGACGTCTCCACTAACACCTTTCAAGAATCTTAAATTCTCCTCCCCATAGCTCTCGAATGGCTTTTGCCACGCCGCGCAGTAGTTTAGATAGCGATACCGATGACTCGTCCCATGCTCAGTGGCAAAAGCATCAATCTGCTCGATCGCTTCTCTAGTGATAGCCCTCACTACCTCATCATGCTGTTCCAACGCCCAGTTCACTGTGAATTGTACATTCACAAGCGGATCATCAGATCCTTCGTCAAGGCCCAGCGGGTTCGCATCGCCCTTCCGCGCCCAAGAAGGCAGACATGGCTGAAGGACAAGCGTCCAGTTCATGCCCTTGATACCATGCTCCTTGATCTTCGGTATCGCATCACGATATGCTTTATGCGCCGCCTCCAGCGTCAGCCTATCGTTCTTGATCGTCGTAGTAGCGAACTCTTGTCGTCGTCCCGGCGGGTTCAAAACACTGAGTTCATCTGTCGCACCAACTAGACTGCGAATCTTGAACGTACTCCACACACGCCCAATCTTATGGAACCCAGAGCTACGCCAACATACAGGCCAGCCCCTTTCTTTCGTGTCTGGCGCGGTGTGAACGAGGTGCACAGAGATTGCCTGGATGCCAACGGATTGGAGGTATGTGAAGCATGCCAGAGGGCCCGCGGCGTAGGGGTCGAAGCGTTGGTCTAGCTCACCGGCCAGTGTTTTCGAGACGGTGTCATGGAATGCTGTGAGCACAGCAGGGGCTTTCCATGGGAGGAGATAAATGAAGCCGCTCCAGACTTCCTTTGCAGCGAAACTACGGACCGTGAAGCTTGTCACGACGCCGACGTTGTTCCCTCCGCCCTTGAGTGCACGCCAAAGATCAGGTTTATCGTACTCCGAGGCAGTTACGATCTTTCCATCTGCTAAAACGACCTCGTATTCAAGGACGTTGCTGCACACGAACCCGTATTGCGGCGAGAAGAACGAGAGGCCTCCACCGAGCGTGAGCCCAGACACGCCAACAGCAGAATTTCTCCCACCAGCAACTGCGAGACCCTCTTTCTCGAGTTCTGAGTACACATCTATCCACTTGCAGCCAGCGCTAATGACAACACTTCGCCCATCTTCAGCAGGAACGACTTGTTTAAAGAGTGACAAGTCGATGAGAACCCCACCTTTAATGCTCGACGCACCGGCAACAGCAGAATGACCGCCCCCTCGAACAGCAAAGATCGATTCCACCTCTTCTCCGGTTTCTTTTGCTCGCTCAACCCTCAAATCGAACTCGCGTTTCAGAATCTTGACCGCTTGCGCTAGTTCCCACACATTGCGGGGTCGCACAACACATGCGGGCGGCACCTCACACGCTTTCTGGTCCCAATACGCATTCATCGACTCTTTGAATTCCGTTGCCTTGTCGGGCGTGATGACAATGTGGGGAATGGCTGCGACGAGCTTGGCTTTTAGTTGTCGTCCGGATGCTGTCAGGCCATCGTCGAGTCTGAGACGGCCAGGTTTCTCGGCTTCTGCATCGCGTTCTATTTGGGATGTGCGGACACTGAGTCGTTTTCTGATGTACACGGTTGCGAGAAGGATGGCTATGCATGAGTAGGATAGCCATGATAGCGCCATCTTTGAATTGAGTTGGGGAGGCTGGCGCCTAAACTGCGGGCGGATGGGCCAATGCAACTGAGTGTTGTCAAACTGTCGACGGCAAGCCTGGAGACAGCATGAATGATGGCTTCTTGGAAGGACCAGAATATACAATGGTTGAGGTAAGTTATATGGGCGTCACTGGCGTGGAGATACGCGACGTGATCTGGTTTCACACATGGATGACATAATCACTTGGCGTCAGCGGGCCTGATCGGTGATGACGAAATGCGTCGCGCAATCTACTACATACGTACAGTCCTCCTCTCACAATTGCATCATGCTTGGGACGCTGCATGCGTCAACCTTCAAATTACAATCAAGTCATAGCAAGCGTACATGTCGGCGTCTAATGCGACCCGAAAGCTGTCATCGCCTGGTGGCACTTCCAATCAACAGCTATTCTTCGTCTCGCTAGCTTGTGATGACAAAAGGCTGCGTGACACGAAGCTGACCCAGCTTGTGTGTCTATCGATCTTCCTGACCACACGAATGACTTTGGACAAGCGTTTCGGTGTGTGGTATCAAGGCGCTCGACAATGCGCAGACAATACAACGTCTAGACCGTAGCGGCCCTGGAAACTACTGCATCATTCTGCGTGGATTCCTTATGCGAGTGACTTCCGGTGCCGATGTAGCGGTCGGCACAGCTTTGACGTATGGCAGCTCGTAAATGTGCTATGCAGGGATCTTCGAATGATGAGTATGGGAACTCGAAGGTTCTTCCGCGCGCGAGAAGATAGTCAACCATTCATATTTCGATATCGGGATACCACTTCTTTACCCACTGGTCAAGAACCTTGGGTCCCACAGGCTTGGTCAGGAACTCGTCTGCGCCAGCATCGTCTGCGGCCTTGCGATCGTTTGAAGAATCCTGACCAGTGACGATGAACAAAACACTCCGTTCATACCCATGCTGCTTCTCCAATCGCCGTATCTGTCGTGTTGCATCGATACCGTCGCATACCGGCATCTGGAGATCCATGAGGATAAGTCCGACTGGTTGGACAGGCAGATTTTGTCGTAGCAGTGGGTCGTACTTGGGTATAAGAGCTTCGGAAAAGATGTTGACTGCCTGCTGGCCATCCTTCGCACTTCGAAATGGGATGCCGCGACGACTGCAGTACATCTCCAATAGACGAAGATTGACAGCATTGTCATCAACAAGGAGTGTCAGGGGTTTGCTCGATGTTGAGGTCTCCTTCGTGGAAGCCGGAGGCTTAATTTCAATGCGCAAGGTCCGTACCGACTGGACTAATTCATTCTGAAGCTTGTCGGGGAATATTGAACCTCGCTCAGATGGGAGCTGTGGGCGCTCGTTCGAGTCGAGTGTAGAAGCTTGACTGGGTGGCTCGATAACGATGCCACCGGTCGCACGCGACTCCTTCTCCAGAGCAGAGGCGCGGAATTCGGCCGAGATTGCATCCGCGTGCTTCAACGCTTGTTCAAATGTTTCCGACAAAAAGGGACCTTGAACGTATACAACATTACCCTGCCGTCGCACACGTTCAGTATGGAAGTCGAGAAAGCATGCGCATTCTGGAACAAGACATATCGCGACCTGGTCAGCATCGATGTTCGACGTGTGTCGGTAGAGCTCCGCTAGATTGGGTGTGTAGTCGACAACTACAAAAGCACCCTTAGGTGTGTTGGACGCTGTCCAACCGGCGCTTGAAAGATACTGTGTGAAGTAGTCGCCGAGAGACGACGTTGCTGACTTGGACGTGAGATGATGGAAGGTTTGTGGAAGCTCACTGAATCTATCCTTCACTGTACGGGACGCAGGGAATGAGCTTGCGCAGACGGGCTCGTTGAACGTCGCTCTGATGTGCGAGCCTGCACCGTAGGGTGAAGTGACCATCTTAATCTCACCACCCAACAGTGTCGCCGCTTTACTCGCCAGCGTCAAACCAAGAGCAGACTCAGTACCGCTAAGATCGATCTGTTCGTGTACGTCAAACACGCGGTCGTAATTCCCTTTGGGTGTTTTACGCCCACTGTGTTCGACGTCAACGACGAGAGACTGGCAGCCCTCCTCCATTGATATAGTCACTGCTACCATACCGCCAGCAGCATTTTGAGCGGCGTTGACCATAAGCGGCTGGATACAGTCCAAAAACACCCGCTTGTCGATAGCAAGCAGATCGCAACTCGGCGGTAGATGGTGTTGTATTACGATAGATGGCCGCGTAGAAAGATCGTCCGATAGTCCTAGCAGGGTTTCCTTCAGCAACGCATCTTCAATCTCAGAGACGGTATGCATGGTGAGAACGCGTTCTGCCTGTGCAATATCTGCCCACTGATTCAACTTGATGAGATTATTCACCGTTGAGATCAGCTCTCTTGCAGAAGTCTTGATGGTCTTAATGTAGGTGTATGGGTCCAGCTGTTCAATGTCCGGGCTGGCAGTGGGTGATGAGGCGGCTGTTGAAGGGACCACGTTTCGAGCTTTTAGCTCTTCAGTGAGAAGCTCGACAGAACCAAGAATACCATGTATAGGAGTTCGAAGCTGATGCGTAATGCCGCGAAGAAACGTTTCCTTTGCGCTGAGCGCCTCCTGGAGTGCGCGGCCTTGCCAATATCGACATAGTATTGTCTAAAGGCCACGAAGTGTCAGCAAAATCCCCCAAAACCAGCCTAGTATTGCTTACCGCACACATATGCACAAACCAAGAATCTATGTCGTCAAAGACCATCTTGAGGTCGTTACTGGCTACTACAAGAAACATCGCTGCACGCTGACTGGTGCACTGTGCCGCGATAGCCCGTACAGGCCGAGGCGCAGTCATGTCCAAATGATTGAGGTTCTCGATGGCGTAGTCGAAATCTGCGAAAGTCAGCATATGTCACATTCGCATCTATCATAATGACTCACAAGCTGTATCTTCCCAAAGACCTTGCTCCAGCTCTGACGTGCGGAATCTCGTACCACCAGCGAAGGTTATGTGGCTGTCCGTGGTCTGATGAATGCTCACCTGCGTATTAAGATAGACATCCTCGAGCATCCTAGGGATCACTTCCTCCATATTGTGGTGGTTGTCGCATTGCTGCTGAGCTTGAGAGAGCAGTTCCAGCATCCGCCTACGTTCCTTCTGACGGCGAGCTCTTGCACTGTGCACTATATCCGTGACAATCCAGTCAGCAAGCCTGGCAAGAGCCTGCTGTACTGATGGCGAGAGAGGCTCTTGCGGGGAATTAGAAGCGACACAAAGGGAGCCGAAAGCCACGTGCTCCCCGAATTCAGTATCAAATCTCAATGGTACACCGGCATACGCGCGCAAGCCACCCTGCTCAACATGCGGTGACTTCTCGAAGCGCCAATCTTCCGCCATATTCTGCAGCGCAAAGACAGTCTGTAGTTGTCAGTAGTGGTCTGGTGATAAAGAGGAGTGCCGACTTACGCCTGGTGGTTGGTTGATGGTGTGCGCGCAGGTACTCTCGCGACGTGGTAATATCGCGAGAGGAAGGTTCACTGTGACCATCCGAGTATAAGTGCTGTGGTTGAGAAGGCCGGCAATGACAAACTCCCACCCTACTGTCTCATGCGCAAGATGAACCTTTTCCTGTAGGCGAGACATCAACTCTACATCTTCAAGCGCTCCGCGAGTATAGTAGTATAGCAATGTCAGCCTCAGCCTCTCATTCCGGGTCAAGACTGGGAAGAGATAGCGATCCGAAGAGCACTGAGGTGGACATAGTGTTTTGGCAGGTTTTGGTGCTGGTGTCCAGATGTCGCCATCGCTGGGATACACCGACGTGACTTGTTCCGCAGTCCATGGCTCAAGGGGTTTGTCGGCATTCTCAAGATCAAGTATTGGCGCGGTGGTGGTCGGGCGCTCGGACGATGCCGGCGCAGCATGCCTCGATGCGAGGACGGCCGCATCTGCCTTCGGGAAGAAGGCAACGCGCTGGCCGCCCATGAGATGCATCGAGATATCTGTATGTTGGATTACTGCCCAGCATTGAAAGCAGAGGTCGCGCAGAGTGTTTTGCAGAGGTGTGATACACTGCGGGAGCTAAGGCTGTCAGAGGGGCGCGCCGGGTGTAACGTTCCAGACTGGTCCAGATGCTCGATCGTGAGGATTGTGGCGACCGCGAAGGATTAGAACTGCGGCGACGATCGCGACAGCGGATAATATCTCGAAGAAGCACTGGTATCGCGAGGATGGGTTGTTTGCATCTGTTTGTCGTGTTCAGCTCGGAAAACTGCTAGTCGCAATGTATCCCGGCCTGGCGCCTTCCTCCGGGCCGAAGCAATCGGTCGATGAGATGCCTTAGCTGCATTTTCAGAATCCATTGTCATACTGTTTGCTCAGCACACAAGCAGACGCCCTTGGACTGTCGTTGCTTGGAAACGCGCTGCGATCGGTTGAGCATAGTCGAAGTGGCAAAGCTCGTGAAGAAAGAATGGGAGGCGGGGCGACAGCGCTTCCGACGCGTCCCATTGGCTGCGATCTGGCCCACTAATTTCCCAAACCTCACGTCCTCCGGCAGATGTCTACTTCATTTCTTCACAACGCCGCGCCTCGTCTTTTCACCTTCAAACTGCCGTTTTGAGGAGCCAAGATGTCACTTCTCAATCGCCAGGGCCTCTTCATCATGGGGGGCTAGCTGACTGTAGCGTAATGAACATTGCGGCCGAAATGTCGAGCACGGATGTCGGACGCCATCCGCGACAACCCTCTAGAGCCAGATGTCAGCTTCCGGTCATGTCAACCTCCAGTAACGGCCTCCATGTACCCATGAAAGGCTCTATAAGCCTTGGACGGACTCCGTAAGTCAGCCTTCGTCTGCTCTGACATGGCCAGCTATTCATCCTGTACACGGCGCCTCAAGATTGGCAACATGGTAGGGAAAAGGTAGTATGTGCGGCCGTCGCCGCCTGTTCTCTGTATCCTCTATCAACCGCTTCATGACGTTCTCATAGCCGTTGTCCAGGGGCCAATGTCCCCAGTATCGGCGACTACCTGACCTTACACATGGTCGCTATGTTGGGGAGCAGAAGCAGGTCTTTGCTTTCACTTTCACTTCAACTTCATTGCGCACATACCACCACCATGCACTCGTCGGTCGCTATGCCCGCTCTTATTGTTGAGCCTGAAACAATAGGCTCCCACTCAACCACTGCGACCTCTTACAGCTCATCGCAACTTGCAACTCCGCCTAGATTCACGCAAATACCCCGCCCCTCGTTTCTCCTTCCCTCGTCGCCGAATACTACACGCGAAAGGCTCATTACAGGAACAACTTGCAGCTCATCTCAGCGACTTTTCCACAACTCTCCGCCTCCGAAGCGCTACCATGTCGTCTCAACTGAACGACTCGTCTCGCAGTACGGATCCCGCCTCTGCCCAGCCAGATGCAACAAACTGTTCCAAGCCTGGCTTCATTCCGAAACCGCTTCGCGTAAGGAAGAGATTCTACGACCCCAGTCTGACTGCCGGAATGCGCTCACCCGACGCAGACATGACAACAGTCTTTTCTGATGTGGAGGCCACAAAAGGTGGTGTATTGACCGAGGAAGACGAAAACCTCCGCGCGGAAGCCATCAAATTGCTGGCCGCCAAGCTTTCCAGATTCAGGAAGCTCAGCCCTCCTCACGCCGCGATCATGCAACGTCAGCCTGAGGTCTTTGCGGAGCAATGGGAGTCTGCCATTTGGGGCCGATCAATGCAAAGCTCCGACAGGAAGCAGTATGATGACGAAGTCAGATCAACCTTGCGACTCCTCACCAAGTGCGACAAGAAGTGGTCTGAGGCTTGGCCAGTCGATGATGGAAGTTATTGGACAGGTGAAGAATGGTTCGTTTGGGAGATGGACAGATTGAACTACGACATACTGGAGAACGAGAGCATCGCATCTGGATCGCATTCTGAGGACACTCCAGCCAGCCTCCGCTATGTATGTTCTCAATCCGACTCCGCTACCGAAGCCACCGAGACCATACTCAATGCGGACAACCACCAAGAAGGCCTCTCACCAGAGGCGCAGCTGCGCAAAGACAACCGTCGAGGCTTCCGAAGCCATATCCGAGGCATCTGCGAGTTGCTGAGATCCGCGAATCATACAGCTAACCTTGACGTCGTCGCGCTTGCATCATCTTGGGAGTCCGAAATTTGGACCTCGTCGCTCGAGCACGATGACTGCAACACTTCATATAACGAGGATATAGATGGGGCACTGGAAGACTTGGATGACTGGAGAACGTACTGGGATTCGTCTGGAGGCGACCCCGAAGGCAGTCGAACCGGTCGGCAGCTCTTCCTCGACTACGTTCAACAGCTTCAGATGCACGACGTTTTGTCTGATGGACAGACTGAATCGCCGACAGGAATCAAAGCATCGGCGGAGCCCTCCGATCCTCACGAAGATAGTGAAGATGCTTGCTCTTCCATTGAGACCGACGATAGTGATGGTGGCGTCGACGTCGGCTCAGACGACGAGTCTGAGGATGACCAAACTGAAACGCAGTACGTTCCTGACAACACCGCTGAAGACCACGGCCTTGACTCAAATACTGCCGACGAGCTCTGGGATCTTGCTGGGGGTAACGAAGAGCTATCAGATGATTCTGCGGACGACGCTGATGATAACGAACTATGTGATAAGCCTGACGAGAGCGACGATGAGGATGAAAGTGAAAACACCATAGATGGTGTCAGCTTTCACCCTAGCTCCCCTGTCGCAGCATCTCCGGTAGCATCGGCTTTCGCTTTCACCTTCGAGCCTTCTCAAAGCAGCGTCGCTGTACCTATCATCCCATCCGGCTTCGACCCGAGAAATTGGACTGGAGCATTCGATTTCACGGCACCCCTAGGCGGCGACATGGCCGTCAATGGGTCTCTTTCGGCTGGTGATGATGTCGCCAGTCAGACTTCAGAGGTTCAAGACCTCAAAAACCCTGAGCAGATTGAGGAGGTTGCCGCCGACGATAGCTTGGAGCCTGCCACCTCTTCCCCCGTTGACGACGACGTATTCGCCAGGGTCAATCAAGAGCACGCAGTGCAGGAGGCCCCCGTGGCCGCTCCAAAGGAGCATGAGACGAAAAGGCCACAAAAGGCCGTCTCAGTAGACTGCTCTGGTAGGATCAGAGAGCTGACTGCCGCCATCAATGCATGCGAGGCCGAATGGCTGAACGCAAATGCAGGCAATTGCGCTCCTTCCGCTTTCGTCGAGCTCGCCGGTAATCTCGATAGCATTGGTGCCAAGATCACCAACAAGGGTGATTTCTCTTCCCCGTCGGCATTGAGCAAGATTGAGGCGCTGTTCGCCAAATGGCAAGCTTTTGTCAAGACCATGACAGCCTTCATTGGCATCAAAGAGTACTTCAATCCCGACAACGATTTCCGCATCAATCGACTCGTCAACCTATATCGCTCAGATGTCGAAATGATCCCAGCGTACGAAACCTTCAGTCGCTTGCCGGGCGCTCAAGAGTACTGGCTGGGTGAGGCAAACAAGCGACGAGAGAGCAGAGATGATAATCTGAAGAGCATCAACAATGAGATTGCAAAGATGTTTGGTCTTCGCCAAGCCTACCGCCACGAGCTTGAGACACTGAACAGGCAAGTCGACAACGAGGCGTTCAAGGAGTTTGGCAAGATGACTCTTAACATGGTTGACGAACGCATCTTGGAGGTGAACGAGGCTTTGGGCCTGCAAGACTTGTAGATACCTTCCGAAGTCCCCAATTCAACATCTAGATATACCAGCATAGTAATCAAGTCTCAAACCACTCCAACTCATCCTCTTTCCCAAACACCGCTCTATAAACCCTATCTCCATCCTCCTTGACCACCTCCTCTGTATGTATACTATGCAGACTATACTCCCTTTCATCAAGACTACTTCCATCTGTCCCATCTTTTGCAGACCCAAAGATGCGAATGTGAATGTATCCGTTGTCTAAAGCGGGCAGTTTGACTTTGCCGAAGAGATGCAGACCGTATGCTGTTACGGCTACGCGGACGGATTCGAGGTCGTCGGCGGTGAAGGATGCAAGGTCGCTGTCGGAGAGGTGCGAGACGGCGCGGAAGTATTCAGGTTCGTGCTCTAGAGGGTTGTTAGAGGGCTGAGGGGAGTCGATGGGACAGGGTGGGTTTACTGTCATGGTCGCGGCGGAGTTTTATGAGTTCGCTTTTCACAGTGTCGAGGATGGAGGTGAATGCCTCGAGGGACGCTTGCTGGGGCGCGTGCGATGCGCTCAGGTCGACGGTGTCTTCTGTTGCCATTGTGGATGCTGTGAAATTTGGTTATACACAATCAGAGCTATGCGTTAATAGGTGCGAAGTGTCAGCAAGTGATCTGGTGTACGGCAACTCTATATGCTGGCTATAGATTGTGCCATGTGCCATGTGCCATGACGTGGACCGATCAAGGATGAGATGTTGGATGAGGCGTGTCGCGTCTCAGCGAGTGGGCACCGAGCGCGCCTAGCCTGAAAAACCGGGCAGTTGAGGGTGGAAACTTGGTCTCACGGCTTGCAAAGCTTGGGAAGCACCGAAAGCTCGGGCATGGCTGGAGAGCATACTGAGAGACTAGGTTTCGACTGAGCGTGAGACGTGTAGACTTCACAGCGTGTGTTGAGTGCTAAACAGACGATAGCTTGAGGACCCTTGGACCCTGGAGAGCTTCGATGACTAAGCACACACTAGCGCACCTCCGCAACTTCCCCGCTCTGTTCATCTGCAATCTGGGACGTACCACCATCCGACGCAATCATGCATCAATAAAGATCCGTCCACCAGTCCGTCCCTCGACAGCTCAACGATCTTACCACCGGTTCAAGATCGAAAGACGGCAACGTGGAAATAATACGTGGGGTGCGGCAATGGTTCGAGGAATCAGAGTCATATCTACTCTGCACGTGCTTCCACGCGTGCAAGCGAACGATTATCACGGCTTACAACAGAGAAGAACT